ACACACACACACACACACACACACACACACACACACACACACCACTGAAAACTGGAATATCCACCCCATATGCATATTTGAAACGGAGTGATAATTGATAATGCCAGAAAACGTACTTTTCAGATTTACGGCCACCTTATCATCGCTTTGCCTTTATCTGTGTTTTCTTCACCCACGGGGCTGCCTTTGAAGCGGAGCCAACAGCCTGAGGTGTGCACAGGGGGCTGGATGAACAGGAGGCTTTTGAGCTGAGCCTCACCAAGAAGGGCACAGCCCCAGCCCAGAGGAAGGGCAACATTCTTCCATCAGTCATCTTTAGCTCACTTTAATACTAGGAAGCATGTTAGGAGGGGGAGGAAGGGGTAGAGAAGTCCTTTACAATAAAGTCGCAAGTGGGTTTGCACAACATGGTAACCTAAGTGACTTAAATTCTCCATCAGCACTAGGTCTCCTGGCTCCTTCTGCCTAGGGATTTTCACTTTTTTTTTTTTTTTAATGCTTATTTATTTTTGAGAGAAGAGAGAGAGCGAGCGAGCAGGGGAGGGGCAGAGACAGAGAGGGAGACACAGAATCTGAAGCAGGCTCCCGGCACCGTGCTGTCAGCACAGAGCCCGATGCGGGGCTTGAACTCACGGACCCTGAGATCGTGACCTGAGCTGAAGTTGACACTTAACCAACTAAGCTCCTCAGGCGCCCCACGGATTTTAATAGCTATGCTATGCTAGAGATCTCTAGCTTGGAAAATTCTGGGAGGTTATAATGACCTTTACTACACTGAGCCCTGGACTTCCCGATTTAGGAAAGTAAGGAATTTGGAAAAAAGGGCGTCACTTTGGTGATCGTTGGGAACGATCTGGTGGCAAATACAAATGACAACAAGGACCATGAAGATTACGCTCATGCTCTTTGACCTGTTAACATAACTTCTGGGAATAAGAGATAATCTAGACTATGTATGACAATTTTTAATTACAGTCTTATCCTTATTATCCACTGTTTAAACAAATGTCAAAGAGAAGGGGCTCGTGAAACAAATTGTTGTACAACTTGACGGAATATTAGTTAAGTAACTATGAACACTGTGAGTAAACCAGTAAAACCCAGAGAATGCTTGTGCTATAATGTTAAATGAAAAATGCAAGATGCAAGATGTAAGATGTGTGTGTACTCTATGTTAGAACTATGTGAAAACTCTATGTTACTATTACTCTGGAAGGAAATGTACAAGAATAGTAACAGTCATTATCTTAATTCGGTAGGATTACGCTTCTGTTTTCCAAACTTTCTCCAGCGGTTGTGTTGTTTCTGTGATAACCAGCACAGCCTATCACATGAACACGCAGGTCCCCACTTGACTTTGAAGGTCACCTGGACCCCTCCTGCTGCTTCTAATGCCCCCCTTCACCCCGGCCCCCCCTTAGATACGGCTGCTTCTGGAACTGATCCCAATGCTCCTTTGTCCCTTTGGACACTGTATATGGCACAGCAGGCTGCATCCTCCCGGAAGGTTCCTTCTGACAGCGCAGGCCCAACACCCCCATGTCCCCGCTGCATCCTTTCCCCTGGCGTCTGACACGCTGAGATCTCCGCCTGTCTCACTGCTGAGTCCTTGAGAGTGACAAGAAGGTGCTCTGGTACTGTTCTTAGCACTAAGCTCTCCCCGTCCATACTCCCTCCCTTCGGTCCCCTCCCCCACCCCCAACACCCCCCACCGGGTGCTCCCGCTGTAATGGAAGGCCCCTTCTTTTTGCATCTGCCGGACCCAGCATAGCCCTTAGCATATAGCAAATGCTTAAGCACTGTTTGCTGAGTGAGTGAATGCATGAGTGCATAACTGCTCTTTTGCACCCCAGAACTGACCACTGGAAAGCCCCTCTTGATGTCTAGATGAATCTCCAACTCAGGGCAGACGATACAGTAACTTCCCCCCAACCCCATGCACCAAAAGGACTCTGCCTCCCCTATTTACACTGGCAGTTTCCTGGTGTCCTTGCAGACTTTTTCATTGTATCCAACCAGTTACCACGTCCCAGCCTCTACTGGAAACTCTCCATGCTACAATTCCTGTCTTATTTCCTTTTTAAAAAATTTTTGTTTAATGTTTATTTTTGAGAAAGAGAGAGAGAGAGAAAGAGAGAGACAGAGCGCAAGCAGGGGAGGGGCAGAGAGAGAGGGAGACAGAATCTGAAGCAGGCTCCAGGCTCCGAGCTGTCAAAACAGAGTCCGACGTGGGGCTCAAACTCACGAATTGTGAGATCATGACCTGAGCCGAAGTGGGACGCTTAACCAACTGAGCCACCCAGGTGCCCCTTATTTCCCATGACTTCCTTAAATATAACCTGTGCTCTAGACAGGCTGGACTGCTCTGTTCCCTGAACTTCATCCGTCCTATAAAACCGACCTCAGATTAATTAAAAGAAAGACTAACATCAATTTGGTGTAGAAAATTTGGAAATTGTATACCATTATAGGTTTTGTATAAACTACTCACCATTTAGGGTTTTCACAAATTCTCATGACAATGAGGAACAATTTGATGCAGACCTTTGCATACATACTTTTGGCCACATCTTTATTCACCTTCCCAGTAATGGGATTATTAGGCTCAAAAGTATGAGCATTCCACAGCTGACAATGCATGAGCCCAAAACTGCTTTCCAGAAATAACGGTGGTTACCAATTTATACTCCAATCAGGGAACAGCGATGGGGTTCATCTCACTTGACCTTTGTCAGCACCAAGTAAAAAAAAAAAATGTTTGTCAATTTCTTTTTTTTCTTTTAATGTTCATTTCTCAGAGAGAGACACAGAGTACAGGCGGGGGAGGGGCAGAGAGAGAGGGAGACATAGAATCTGAAACAGACTCCAGGCTCTGAGCTGTCAGCACAGAGCCCAACCTAGAACTCATGGGTTGTGAGATCATGACCTGAGCTGAAGTCCCACGGGTAACCATGTTTGTCAATTTCATAGGTGGAAAAATTACAGCTCATATTTTGTTACCTTCATGTCTTTCGTGGTGTTTTCTCTCTGATCAATTTTCTCTCTTCTCTCCCTCTGTTTAACTTCTCTCTCTCTGCTCAACCCTCAGCCACCTTACAGACCCCACGTGATTCACCCATTGCATGAAATCTCCCCAGCCAACGCCCAGAACACTGCCTCACAGAATCCCATCACTTTGTCTGTATCTCCTGACTCAGCCTTGCAGTGAGATGTTCTGTATGGTTTTCTGGCTCCTCATTCATTACACCTTAAATGGCCCAAGACCAGATCCAGATCTTTCTGCAATGTGTTCCACATCTTAGAGTTTAAAAATGTTGCATTACATTTCCATGTATGGAACTAATCTTCAGCCACATTAATAATGATGTATTAGGAAGTAAAGCTTTAGCACGACGGGACAGAAGTTTATTTAAAAAACGAACTTGGTAATGGTAAAGGTGATTTCTCACTAAAAGAGGTATAAGGGAAATTCTGCAATTTTCTTTGCTCTTATTTAAAGATAGGGTCATGGGGCGCCTGGGTGGCTCAGTTGGTTGGGTGTCTGACTTTGGCTCAGGTCATGATCTCATGGTGAGTTTGATCCCCGCGTGGGGCTCTGTGCTCAGAGCCTGGAGCCTGCTTCGGATTCTGTTTCCCTCTCTCTCTCTGCCCCTCCCCCAATCACGAGCGTGCTCT